TTGCCCAGGCTGGGAGCCATTTTCTTGGCTCATGTTCTAGCTCAAATATTTCTTTTCCTTGAGTTCCTTCTGGGGTCTTAGAGGAAGAGAAAGCAGCCCTGCTGGGGTCGAATTGCATATTCCATGTGGTATATTCAGGTTCATGTTGACCTACTGCAGTCCTCCTGTCTGTATTGTAAGATAACTGTGTTTCCGTGTACTGTTCATGTTTATTTCCTAAATAATAGAGACTTTCATGAGTAAGTAGAAGCATGGATTGATATAGTTCTCTGAGGCCTCTCATTCTCGGAGCCTTGGCTTTTGCTGTTTATTTTTTTCCCAAGGGGAAACATCTATGGGGCTTCAATTTTAAAAGGCCTTTGCAGCGAATGTGTGTATGACATTACATTTTGATTGCAGTCATCCGGGGTTTTTTTGATCTGATATTTCTTTTGGGTAACTTTCCTAGAGCTATAAATAAATAGAAAGTGGATGTAACAACAATAAATTATGTACTATTTTTTGGAACCAAAATATTGCTTATGTCTTTGTACTACTAGAGAATTATAACTCCTGAAGTTTAAAAAAAAGAAAAGATCTATTAAATTGTGGGTAAAGAGTTCAGTGACCATGAAACTGTGTAACTCTTCTGTACGTGTTTGCATTGTACTCTGATGTGTGCCAATTTCATGTTTCTTGCCTACTGACTTAAAATCTGTACAAGCACCGTAACCTGCTGTAGCAGGCTTCTGTCATAATCCCGAGTATTCATTCAAACTGTAGAGAACAATACTCTAGCAATTACAGGCAATAAGTAATACAGCTAGTAAGAAATAGAAAACTGACAGTAAGCACAGAAATGATAACTGGCAGAAGAGAATTCTGTTTTCACTAATGTATTGGTATTGGCCAAATGTAGAAATATTACAAATATTTTGTGTGGGAAAAGTAAAGTGACGCATTTTCTTCAACTGAAAAAAAATGCTTTTTCTGTATTTACAGACAAATCCCCTCATTTCCTCCGCCTCGGGGATGTGGAGGTCAACGCGGGGCAGAATGCTACCTTTCAGTGCATTGCTACAGGGAGAGACGCGGTGCATAACAAGTTGTGGCTGCAGGTAAGGCCCAGTCGGCAGCTGGGCCAAAGAGCTCAGTCATTAGGAGAGCAAGAAAAGTGACCACTAAGCTGTTTTCGCTCTTGCCTTTTCCTGTGTGCTGTATGTGTATATGTGCACACAAGCACACAAGCGCGCGCGCGCGCGCGCACGGAACCGGCTCCCTGTGTGTGCTTACTTTAATGGATTGTAAATTCATGACAATCATTTTCTTTTTTAAGGTTGTAGCTGAACCCTAATGTGTCTCTAACGTTATGTACAAATACTAAAGAAAATTTCTCTAGACCCTTTCAAAGTAGAAATAAAAAGACATGTTTCTTTTGTAACATTATGAAAACTGAACTGAATAGAAGTGTAGTACTTACATAGGAACTGTCATACTCTGCTGAAGTGTTTTGAAAGTATTTTAAGAAACTCTTGGGAGTGCTTTCAGGAAGTATACATTACAAGGGGCAATTTAATTTTGTTTTCAGAATGTTTGTGTCTGAGGGTTGATCATAGACCTGAGGTCAAGACAGTTACCTTGAACATCTGAAGTCCCTAATAAAGGTCTATATTTAATTAACTGGGATTTAACACACAAGTAGAGAAAATATAAATGGTGTACATCAGAGTTATAAAAGAACTAGAGACAGGTTTGTAGACTAAGGAATATGCTTTATCTTTAGAGAATTTACCAGAAATATTTCAGCAAACCTGCAGAGCTCTGAAGTGAGGAAACTAGACCTCTGGCAGAGAACTGTGAGCAAAATGTTTAAAGCTAGGTGATATGGAAGGAAGAATATTCTCTGAATACCATTTTTATCATCATTATTATCGTAGTTCTATCTGTATGAGAATGAAGAAGGAGATTTGATAGGCTTAGAACTTTAAATTTCTAAGACTATGAGTAGAGATCTAAAAACCAAACTATTGTGAGTTTAATTTAGTTTTTTGAACATCATTATCCAGATTTAGTATTTTATTATATTATTCAGGGTGGTAAAATTAGTGTTGGGGGATAATCATTAGGTGCAGGTGATTTGGGATAATGGTTATAATAAATGATTACCACACCTAGTAGAATGTCTCATTATGCTAGGTGTACTTCATGCTGTATATTAATCTAATTATCACTGCTTTCGTAATTTGTACGATTGGCAAATATCAGGATACCATCATTTTCAGCCTAATGTGCAAAGGAAATGAGACTTTCTTCTTTTTGATTATACTAATTTCCCCTACAGATACTGCAATATATTATAGAATGCACAACGTATCTCATGAACCAAATATTAAGTTCATTTTCTTTGTTCCCTGTCTCTGCCAAAAGTAAATAGTATGATTCCAGATGCACTTCCTCATTACCTTGGTTTTTTAATTTTTTCGTTAAAATGGGAACATTCATTGATATTTGGTTCTGGCACCATATAGTGATTTTAGGAGATCGGAAAGGCTTGGTAGTCTACAACTGGTTTTGTGCCGCAGGATTTACTGTGACACTGCAGTAACAAGCATTATGTAGCCACAGATACCAGCTCTCAGGTGGCAACAAAGACTTCCTGGGAAATGCTGGGCTGAGTGGATTGCACTCACATTACCGCTCATCTTTGTTGTTGCCTATTGCATAGATTGGCCTTTTTCATTATAGTTTCTTCAAGTTTCCTACTGACAGTTTTCAGACATGGATGAAAGAATACACTGCATGAGATTTCTATTTCTCCTCCTTCTCTCGTCTTCTCTTTGTATTTACCAAGAAAGTGGATTTGTGTGTTTGTCTTAGACTTTGACATTGATGTTGAACAATTTTCAACAACAAACATATCCCTCTTATCTTTTCAAAAACAGTTTTAACTTTGTTACTAATACCACATAAATTACCTTAGCATATTCTCTTAAATTATTTTTTCATGTTGAAGAAATTTGGAAATATATACTTTTTTCTTTTAGGCATATTTTCAAAAAACAAAACAAAAATATTCTTTATGATGGTACCATGTATCAACCAGATAAGACCAATCCTTATGTGTATATGAGCCTATTGGAAAGTGGTCATAATTTAAAAATCTTACTCATGTTTTGTGAAAGTATTAAAAAGTAGTACACTTTGGTTCATAGTGAATCTAACTCATTGAAATATATGTCAAGACATAGTCAGTTGATGTAAGATAACATCCATAGTTCAAGAGCCCTCGCTCTTAATACTAACCTTGATTCTGACCCTCTTAACCCTTCTAACCTTGTTGAATATGGTGCACTTAGAGACTGCATTGAATTATTCTGGATTTTTATTTCCTTATCTATGAAGGGAAATGTTTGATAGAGACTACAGTCACTTTCAGCATCAAGAAGCGAAAGTAGGGCTTTATGTTACTTTTGATTGTCTGAAGCATGACCTTGATAACCATTTTTATTTGATGTAAGAATGTAAAAATTTTGTATTATTAGTTTTGGATAGAAAAAAGAGTCCCTTAATTTAAATTCAGTGTGAAAATAATAAAAAATATCTGCTGAGAGCACAAGGAATGAAGGTACTTCGAATAACTCAGTGAAAAGTCACTAGCTTTTAATCATGAAAGTAACATAGTAATGGAGTTGCGGTTACACCTGCCATAAATGAGATAATACAGGGTGACTGAAATTTTTAGTCCTTCAAAAAACTTAGATTATTTTATAGTGCACTTGTCTAGTAAAATGTTTTCTAAATATGAAATAAATTAACAAAATATACAAAAACATCTAGTTTTCTATTTTGAAAGAAGAAATGCTACACTATGGCTCTATGAAAGCACTAAGCATAATACCTTATCCTATTTGATATTTTAAGATTTTGAATATAGAGATACATTTAGAGAAATGTATGTCACTTGCCTATTGTTTCCAAATTACAATTATTTCAAATGTTTTCATTTCTTAAAATAGCATACCAATTTAGATGATTAAAAAGTAGGGAGGTATAAAGCAACATTTAATGAGATGCCTAAGCTAATCTAAGGTAATTCATATAACATATTATGGTGCTTTTGAAAGTATATGTATGTAATAATCTTTCTTTTAAGAATCAGTATATAACTACAAAAGCTTTAAAGGTCATTCACTCTAGATGTATAGAAAGCAGATATAAAATACATAGCTCAGAACAATTGTCTTGTGCATGCTGAGTAAAATTAAGGATACATAAAACACAGACGAATATTTTTGGCAATCTGATGATTGTCAGCAGAGTAGAAACATGGTGAAATCACAGGACTTTATGGAATGTGGTTTAAAAAAAACCACAATTCACAATATCATATGTTAAGAACCAAACCATAGACACTTAGAAACTATAGAAAAAGAGAATTTCAAAGGGTTTTAATAAATTCCAATCTTTCCTTTATCACAAAGCTCCACCAAGTAGCATGTATTCCAGACATACACACTTAGCCTTCTTTTTTCAAATTAATGATTTATAACATTTCCCACATAAACAGTTTTTTTCAATTGTTACAAGAGTTGTAAGAACTACAAGACTTGTAGAACTAAGTCATTTCAATCGTGCTCCTATGGAACTTCCAGTGGTAGAAGTTTGTTGTTCGTAATTTGAGGCTTAGGGTGAAACTCAGGTTATAGGTAATAAACTCATAAATGAAATTATATATATATATATACATATATATAAAATAAACTGAAATATTTAAGCATTATATATTTATTTTACTTTTATGAGTATATTTACCATACACAATGATTATATTCATTGAAATATACATTAAAACATCTAATTGTTTTCCTAAGAAGTGTCAGATAATTTTAATATAAGGAAAACAAAACTTAGCAATGCATTTTTATTGGTGAAAATACTGAGCATGATCTTTTTCTGTATATTTTATTAATATTAATAGTTGCTAATGTGAGGTATGGGAATCACATGATGAATATATGACCACATTACTAATATGGCACAGCAGTTGCATTATTAGCTATTTTTTCTTTCTTTTTTTTTAATTCGTGTGTTTGTAGTATGCAGCGATTTATCCTTTTTGGCAGAGTAGTAATTCTTTGTGTATAAATACCACATTTTCTTTATCTATTCATCTTCTAATGAACATATAGGCCACTTCCAAGAGTTAGCTATTGCGAGTTCTAATGCTGTAAATATAGGTGTGGCTGTATCCCTGTAACATGATGCTTTTATGTGTCAGTGTAATATGATATCTGTAACTCTTTCCGGAAGATAACTAGAAGGGGAAGAGTGGGTCAAATGAAATTTCTACTTTTTGTGTTTTGAGGAATCACTCTACTGATTTCCATAGTGGTTGCACTAGTTTATATTCTTACCAGCAATTTAGAAGGGTTCCCAGCCTAGCTATTATCTCAAATGAACTCAAGATATGCCCAACAAAAGATCAGTACAGGGCTGTCCATAACACTTTTATTCATAATAACTAATAATTATTAAAATACAAGTGTCCACTAACAATAGAATTGATAAAGAGGCTGTGATTCTTTCAAGGAAAGGGACACTGCTTAATAATGAAATAGAAGGAAGATTTGGCACAGGCAAGGGATTAAATCAGTGGTAGCCTGCTGCCAGGAGTTAGAGATTGGCCTGCCAGTGGGCAGGGGATCATTTTCAGGTAATATAAATGACAGGTGTCTTAACTGGGGTGTTGCGCAGTGGGTGTACATCCATATCATGAGTTAAGATCTGTCCAACTCACTGTATATGTCTTTAACCTAAATAAAACACAGGAGAGGAAAAAGTAAACATAGGACACATTTTTCTGATATTGAACTTCTTGGCAGGACTGATCCAACTATAACTGGCAATAGTCTATGAACATTACCTGTACCCTTGTCCCTCTTGTCCACTCAAAGTAATTTGATTTGGTTCCCAGATAATCAGGAGTGTCAGGTGAAATACTGCAGACAACATGTTCAGACTGTTCTGTGTTAAGAAAACCTTCTAACTGGAGGGTGGTAACAGGTTGAAATTGGTTGTACCATGACTTAGAAATTAGTATTCTTCCACCAAAGTCCAG